AAAAAAGACGAGACAAAAACGATTGAAATAACCCGCGGGGAAAACTGAACAGAGGACAGAAACATGAAAGGGGGAGCTGACAGATTTCAGAAGTGTAAAAAGTCAAGTACTGAAGAGATGAGATAAGAAATAAGAGAGAGAGTGTGGTGCAGAAAGCGGAGAGGATGGAGGAGTGTAAACTGCAACAGCCCCAAGAACCCTGCCTCCCTCACACTGTGCTCTCCTGAGGGGGGAAAGAGGGGGAGGAGAATAGAAGAGATAAACGATATAGACAGAGGTCAAGGGGGACAACAGCAGGATGGGAAACAAAGCTTGTTTAAGAGAGCGGGGCAGAAATTACTCCTAAAACCTGGAAACAAGTTAGTATTTTAACACTTCCGGTTCACTCGTTATTTTTTACGTGTTTGTCGTTGGATGCCTAAAATAAAATCTGCAGTTAACACAAGCTTTCAAGATTTCAGGTTTTGATCAGCATCAGTAAATACCCCACTCATGAATATCCAACACGTCTATGTGTCGTAAAAGATCTGTTGCTAACAAGTGACTAAATGAGACAACTAGCACGCAAAAACATTAGCCGCTTTAGCGGTGGGGACGCATGCTATAATAATGGAGCTAGTTGTAGCCTAGCGTTAGCGTTTTTACATCTGGTGATTGCATTTACGCCTCAAAAATCATAAAGTGGTGTTAATATGTGGAGATTATTCTGCTGGACAAAATGTGTAAGAATCATAGACATGTTTTCGTCACTGAGCTCTTTTTATCCCCAAATTCTTTTTTTTTTAGGGAGCCCTTGTGATGCTAGCTTCAGGGTCCACCTAAAAAAATATGTCACCACTGCACCACGACTCGACTGTGTGAGGTAAATGAAAGCAGTATTTGCAGGGTCTGTGGAGCCCTGACAGACGTGCGGACAGTGACAGGGTTGGTGGCTTCAGCGGGGACAGGATGCAGCGATGTGTGTGTTCAGCTTCAGTGGCTCAGTTTCATGTCACAGTGAGAATAATGAACCGGCGCAATCTGGACCGGGAAACCTGCCGTTCTCTCCCATGTACACAGCGAGGCGCACAACACTGAAACAAGCACGTTAAGCCTGTAACAACGCAAAGCCTGTTCAGTACTGACCCTTGGCTGTAAATGCAGACAAAATGTTCAACACTCACACATACTCGAGATAATCAAACGTGCTCATGCATGCATACACAAACACACACTAATCAGTATGTTGAACCAGAGCCACTGCGCAGCCTGATAACAGCTTCTCTCACTGCTGCTGCTGCTGCTGGCTTCAACACTTCGCTTTTTTTTTTTACTCTGTAGCGCCCAGAAAAAAGGAACTTCTGAGGAGAGTCATCTGCTCAGAAGTCTTTGACAAGGCCATCAGCTCAAAAGGAATTATATAACAAGAGGAAAAACTACACCTGTGCTTTCATTTCTACAAAGCTCCGAAATGTACCATTACCATATTTCAATCTGTTTCGATGCGAGGAAGGTCAAGACGGAGGCGATGCTGATGCAGTGTTGTGTGTGGGCAGGATGAAAACAGATATGTGATCAGCCTGTTACTTTCCTCACTCTGTGAAAGTGTAACACCGGCAGGATTTGAGTAGAGAAGATGACCGGGTATCATTAATTCAACACTTCTCCCCAAACAGCCTTGCTGAATCACAAGTATCCCTCTTTCCTCTGTTCAGAGGGCCCTAGTGGGAGCTGGACCCTTAATCCTGTTTGAACCAGCCTCCTCCTCCTCCTGAGCTACACACACAGGAACAGAGATCGAACTTCCATCACAGGCGGTTGTAATTCTCATGTTCGATCTCTCCCTACTCCCTCTTCATGCTGATTATTTCCTCGGATCAACTCCCATATTGACGCACAGAAATCGCTGATTCACAAGATTTTTTCTATTTTTAATTGACAGATCACTACCTCGTACCAATCAAGCTTTCGGTTCTCACACAGCACATACACAGTTTAAAATGCAGGATTTCGGGAAGATCACCACGCAAATGAAAGCTTGGTGTTTCCACTACCACTATGCGATCATTTGAATCGAAATGAGTAGATATATTGACGCCCATTCATCAGTCGGATAACTATTATTCAAGAGGGCGCAACAAGATGCACCTCAAATGGAAAAACAATGTAGAAAACGTAATGGAAATATGCCATAAGGGTGTGTTTCATGTAAGAATGTGAGGAAGGTTACATCAGATCTGTGTAAAGCGATAAGGAGAATGCCTTTCTCTACATTTAAAAAAGATAATCAGCCACTTTAATGTAGATTTGGGATTTGTGTTGATGGCGGTAATCGGAAAAATCCTTATTGGTACTTTCTTCCACAAGCAGTGTCATTTATCCTGACAGTGACATCACAGCGTTGAGTCGGCTGTCTTCTCAGGGACACTGAGCTTCAGTGATGTATTCTCTTAGAAGCTCATAAACTTTCCACCTGCGTCTCTGCTACCCTGAGACAAAAATAAAACTCCCATTCTTTTTAACAGAGTTCACCAGACAAACCTGGGATACAAATAAAATCACAAACCATTTCTCTCCTTAGACGTGGCAGCTGCTTAAATCAAAGAGTGGCAGAGAGCAATGGTGTGTAGCGAGGGGAGGGATGGAGGAATAAAGAAGACAGAAAAAAGTGGAAAGAGAGTGGGAGACGGAGCAGAAATGATCAGAAATAAGGAGAAGGAAACAAAAAAAAAGGGAGTGGCACCACTGATGCATACCATTCGATAAGGCCTGCTGAAGCTCTGAGTCTGATATCGTTCCACTCCGGTCCTTGTCCACTCTGGGGAAGAAAGCAAAGATTAGATACCGGTGTATTAACTACTTCACACACCCACACACAATAGCAGCGAGCATAAACACTCGCCGGTGGAAACATTATCCTCCTGAGTGTGTGTTGCCTGTCAACGGCCCACTGAGAATGAATGGAGCTCACTGATCGGGACACACAAGGCAGCTTGTACACTCGTGGCTCCCCTGGGACCTGTGTGCGTGTGTGTTGTGTGCGTGTGTGTGCGTGTGTGTTGATTATGAGACAGCAAAAAGTGAAACTGAATGTTGGCAACTGAGAGGAATGATAAAGTGCTACCAGCAGACAGAATGCAATTATCTCAGAAAATCTTACATATTTTTTAAAGAAGGAAACCAAAAGTAAAACTGTTTGATGGTTCGGATGGGCGAGCTGAAACATTATATAAAAAGAGCGTATGAGTTAACATAGTCTTAAACACTTAGCCGACAATGTCCCCAGTTCGATTCTGGGCATGGGTCTTTGTTGACATTTAAACAGTTTAATTTGGGCTTTGGGACATTATGATTTATTATACAACTCATTTCAGTCTGACATTTTATAGGCCAACCAGTAATGAAAACCAATAAGTGGCAGTTTATTTAATAGGGCTACAATACACCTAAAGATTATCTTCATTGTTGAGTATTCCTTAATGTATGTGTCTTTTCAAATAATGTATAAAAAGATTCATTAGGAAAGGGGAAGTCAGACTTACAATCAAAGTCATTAAGGGCGACTGTGGCTGTGAGGGAGTGTGGTCGTCTTTCAACCAGAAGGTTGTGGGTTCGATCCCAGCCCATGCAGTCAACATATCGATGTATCCTTGGGCAAGATACTTAACCCTGAGTTGCTCCCGATGGCATGGCCAACGGTGTGTGAATGTGTGTGAATGTTAGGTCCTAGAGTAAGGTACACTGCTCTGTATGAATGGGTGTGAATGGGTGAATGACATGTAGTATGTAAAGCGCTTTGAGGGGTCTTAAAGACTGGATAAAGCGCTATATAAGTACAGTCCATTTACCATTTACCATTCAGTTTACAGTTACCGATAACACTCAAGGGGAAATACATTATAGAGGCTCGAAGCAGAATATCACATGTCACTTGTTAGACCCTTTTATCCAAAGCGACTTCCATACTCAATACAGTGGGCAATCCCCACAGGAGCAATTTGGGGTGAAGTGTCTCAGGGACACAACGACATGCTGACTGCAGGGGGGTTTGNTGGGCTGGGCTGGGTGCAGTGGCGGACTGGCCATCGGGACGAATCCCGATGGGCCGGTACCGAAGTGGGCCGGTCGGATAAGTCACTAGCACATCCCCCACTCCCCCCGTTGACAATTTACTAGTGGTACCGAGGTGGGCCGGTCGAGAGTCCCGGGCTGATTTTTAGTCCCAGTCCACCACTGGCTACATGACCGTATGATCGCCCATATTGACGCACTTAATTCCTAAACTTCTAACAGATACAAAATAAACCGATCCTTCAGCCTCATATGAGCTCTCAGACACGTTCAAAGTCAAACTGTCATCGCTGTCTGAGCTTGCTGCTGTGTGCGCCATCGTGCGTTTACATGCAGATGCTGGGATCCTGAACGGTGCAGCTGGAGCGCTGTGCCCGCAATGACGTCACCCATAATTTGGCGGGACTTGAAGAATCCCCGAGAAGATCCAGGAAATGGTCAACATTGAAGGGCAGATTAATGGTTATCAAAGTACAAATATCCAAAATCAGTTCAGTAACGGTTTTCAAGGGGAGAATATTTACTCAAATTGATGGGTTTGGATGATGGGGGAAAATCGTGTCACAGGCTCTTTAACTTACTAAAACATGGAAAACGTTTTCTTAGGACATTCATTAATCGGGTTATTTTCCTAAATATTCCCATGTATACTTCACCAGCCAGCTTTCAGGTGACTGAAAAAACGACATTACCTATCTTCCCTTTATTCTTATTAGCATTTTAGCACCTTTGTTATTAGCAATATTACTGTACGTGATTCAGAAAGTGTTATTTCTCTTGGATCATGACACTGAATCTTTATTTATTTAGTAAGGGTTAGGATTTCACAACAGTTTTTTCTCTTTGAAATGGTTTTAAAATCCTGTCTTGATTTGTATTGTGAAAGATAGGAGTGAAGGAATAGTTGTTAATATTAAATTGAATGGCCAGGGGTGAAGTGTGGCGCTGACCTCCACAGGGGGCGCTGAAGAGCTGTGCAGGAGAGGCATGCTTCGTCACGGAGGGAAAATCCAGCAATACTTCAGACTGAGAGGAAGAGAGAAAACATATTAGCCTGATGGTACAGTGTCAGGTAGGATTTGTGTTCGTAGTACACAGTGAAGAGAGGGTTAAAGTCAATGATAGTGTCTCAAAGGTAATTCAAGAAATGAGGGAAGGAAAGAAAGGAAAACTCAATCGATGGGGTCTGCCCCAAAGGGCTCAGAGAGCAGGAGAGTTTAATTAACTCTCACTCGGGTGAATACACACTTTGATGACAGCTCTCTCTTACAGAATTGCAAAAGCTGAAAATCCAATGGTGTGAACTGTTGACTAAAAAGTGGCTGTTTTTAGTGTGCCAGTATGTCTGTTAGATCTCAGGAAAACCCAGATGAACTAAGTGGAAGAACAGTGTGGTGCAATCTCAATAGACTGAAGTCAGTTGAAAGTCACTTAAAAACGATCTCTGAGTGTGTGTGTGTGTGTGTGTGTGTGTGTGTGTGTGTGTGTGTGTGTGTGTGTGTGTGTGTGTGTGTGTGTGTGTGTGTGTGTGTGTGTACCATGCTCAGTGTCTCGGCGTGCGGGTTTAAGATCTGTTCCTTCATTGCCCTCTCACGATATCTGGACCTCAGCATCTGCAAAGACCAGCGAACAGATCTTAAACCCGCACGCCGAGACACTGAGCATGGTACACACACANTACGTACGTACTACGTACTACTATATAGTATACTACACGTAGTACGTACGTACACACACACACACACACACACACACACACACACACACACACACACACACACACACACACACACACACACACACACACACACAGCTCACCATCGGACCGGGACCCTTGGTGACATCTTGCTCCAATTTGAGGGAGGCTGTGTGATTGGCCAGCTCTTTCAGATCATAACCAGCGCAGAAATTCCCTCCTGGAGGAGACCACAAAATTACAAAGTATGGCAGATGGAAAGTCAGAGAGGAAGGGAAAATGATGAGGATGAAAAAAAGGTTGAGCTGAAGTCCGCGGGCTGCAATTTGGAGAGCTGCTCGCGTTTGGCAGGCTGGCAAACAAAAGCTTCTCTTCCCTAAAGAGGCCAATGCAGTCACAAATCACGCATGTGCTCCAACACATGTGCACATACACAATATCCTCATTAATGGAAGACTAACATACTCCGACCACAGCCCCTTCCGTTGGATTCATGTGGTAATACAACATTACCCATGAGGCCTACAAACACTATGTCACAGTCTCAGGCAGGGACTCATACAATCCTCCTCTCTCCGTAATGTTGCAGTAATGAAAATGATTATAACGAACGCATATGCCAGCGACACCCATCGACTGGGAGCTTTGATTACAGCTGTGGGTCAACACAGGGCAATTATAGAGAAACTGTGCGTCATGCTGTTTATGGGAGCAGAGATGTGACAAAGCTCCATAAACCTTGATCGAGAAAAAAAAGAGAGCTGTGAAGAGCTGGTGCATTCTGGGAAGATCTTAAAGCATCATTTACACTATGAAGGAGGTTTGTGAATGAACTGAGGGGCCAAACTGAGATATATGGGCAATGATTGTGAAACGAGGCTGTTGTTATACGGGTTCAAGATTGTTTTATCCAAAATATATTTTTAAAAAGCATGACACACACATTTCCAAATAAAAGTAGTTAATTTAAATTATTTTAAGCCGCTTCAGCTTCAGGCTCTAAATGTTGAATAGAACGGATCATTGTTAAAAACACCTGTTAAAAATAAAAAGCCTGCATTGAAGTGGTTATTTAGATAATAGTAAGCAAATATTAAATATATAAATGTTTTCATTTCAATTTTCAAATGTTTTCAAATGTCCTGTTCTCTAATACTAAGAGATTTGATTGTATTTCTCAAATGGACGTCTAATACAACTACATGCATGTTGCCGTTTTTCATTTCTTTGACCTCTGAAAGATGTTAGATTCAATGTGTTTTATGAGGGCTTCCTCTCACTTCAGATGAACATGTGCCGTAGTGACGCAGCCAGACTTCTGATCGTACCTGACCACTAACGCCCACTGAAATCCGAATCCCAAAACACTCCAAATATGTGCCAGCATATTCAGAAAAACCTGCAGAAAGCAATTACTCTTAATTTCACGGGTTAAAAAAAACATATCGACACTGAAAAACGAGAGGCGAGAGTGTGATTGTGTTGGCGCTAATTTGAACAAAATGGATCCCTTATGTTTTCAGAGGGTATAGCCAAAATAGAACCTCTCTGCTTGTCATCTTATAGCACAGACAGACGGCTAATCACCTCTGAAGGTCAGTCTCCTGGTTATAGTGGGGCTGCAACACAGGACAACCTGCTGACAGGAATGTGTGGGGAGACGATTAAAAGCACATTACAGACATAGTGGGAATCACAGAAGAGCCCTTTTAGCTGGAGCGACCTACTGTGCAGCTCATTGCTAACCCATTTAACACGAGCTAATTACTCTCCAACCCCCACACTGTTTTCTGTTCACAGCTGAGACTAGTGGCACCCTGCAGCCGTCATCTGGAGAGGCTCCAACCTCTGGAGTACCTAACAAAGTATATACTTGTCTCTGTAGGCCACGGTGCACTTCATACAGCAGGTTGATCCAGGTTGAAGACATTATTTCCACTGGGGGAAGGAGGTCATTCAGTGTGTGTGATGATTATTTTGAGAGGTATTAGGAGCCCTGGCATGATTCTGGCTCTGGGCGGCTGACACAGTGCAGGCCACCTCGCAGGTGTGTGTGTGTTTTTTGTGTGTGTGCACTCGGTTCGGTCACTTCGGCACTTCGGGTAGATCTAAGGACTTCAAGGAGCAAAGGCTGGAAAAAAAGACGCAGAGGAAGAATGTGACGCAGGGAAGGTTTGAAGGCAGAGGAGAGGAAGAGATGAAGAGCTGAGAAGCTTCAGTGACAATCCTGTGACTTTCCATAACTGCGTCAGAACATGAGCCACAATGTTCTCCCCCTCTGGTTTGAAAGTATTTTTGGCCCATGGATGTGCTAGTGTACCGGGCTGCAATAACATTTCCGCTGGTTGGATAATAAAGTTTGACTTGACAAAAAGAATATTCTAAAAAAGGGGTTAAAAGTCTGGTTTCCTTCACTTCTAAAACCAGGAAGTTAGGTGAAATACATTTTCACAAAAACAAATTCTCTAACATAAAATACAATAACTTCCGTTCCCTGATTTTCTCTTTAGACATAGTTTTAGAAAATATGCTTTTTCACTTTCCTTGCCCAGAGTTATGTGATTAGATCAATGCCACACGGTCAATGTGAGGCTAGAGTATGAGGATTGTCATCACTGCAATGCAGCCAAACAATCAGCGGAGACTCCAGGAAGTGACTGCTCCTGGCAAAGAAATACTGTCCGGCATGTAATACTCCATTAAACCACAACTTGTTTTTAGAACAAACAAGATATAAGAAGCAGTGAGGTTTAGACGTTCTGCTAGCTGGCCAGAAGCTGTTGTTTTATAATGATTCCAGTCTTTCTGCTAAGCTAAGCTAAGCTAAGCTAACTCGTTGCTGGCAGTAGTTTGAAATGTAGACTTAACAAGGTGTTCGATCATCTCGTCAATCGCTTTGCATTTAAGGAAATAAGCATATTTTACAAAAAACTATTACTTGCAGGTGTAAGGCTCTCAAGTGTCATGATATACCGAGAACCTCTGACCATTTGTGGATCTGAAATCTTACAGAATTAGGTTCAAATGAATACAGGAAGGGATAAGAAATCCTAGAAGAAAATGAGATGAACCCCTCTGTAGCATGTCTGTAAGTTATCTGTGAAGTCAAGTACCTCTGTTTCATCCATCCTTTCTTTCAATACCTTACCTTTCCCATGCAGGACAGCCACGTTTAAGTCTGGGTCCCGGTCGAAGGCCTCCAGCTCCTCCAGCAGACGCCTCGCCGTCTCCTGGTTCACCGCATTACGCACCTCGGGACGGTTTATTGCCACGGAAACCACAGCCCCTCTGCGCTCTGTGACCACGGTCTGTCCCGCAACTGATGACAAAGAATGCAGAGACGCAGACCAACCTGGACCACAACACTCAGACCCAGAGACATAAAAGGTTTAACGTCCACTGTAGGAGGCATGCAGATGGAATGTAAATTGGTTTATGTGGACAGATATCTCTGACAGGCAGTGAAACAATGAGAAGAGATGGTTTGGATTGATGTAAAGACCTTGGCTCTCGCTCTGTCTCAGTGTGTGTTTATTCTGTAAGTGTGTGTGAGTTTGCCAGTGGCTGTGGCTTGAGGTTGCAGCAGGCATTTGACCTGACATTGTTTAGGCTCCTCCGAGGGAATCCAACTGTCAACCAAAGGAACAAAGCTACAAAACGCATTAACCTCGCTCACACTGCTATTCTAGAAGAATGGACCGCTAAACAAAAGCCAGTGAATTGATGGAGTGGGAAAAGGCAATTTGTCTCAGGCAGGCCTTTCTACTCTGCTACACCTCAAACTAATTATCACACAGTGGATTGTGTGCAAAGCAGTGGAACCGTGTTTACTACCTGTGTATAGGGTCGTTTTGCTTTTTTAACATTACAGTTATACTTTAGCACCAAGTTTAAGCAACATGCATTGGAGGGGAGAGCAGATAACATGTTAGTCAAATAATTGTCACTTATTAGCAAAATTAGCACCAAACTATTTCGTGAATTTAAAACGTGTTCTCAACTATTTTGAAAATGTAGTTAAGGCATTCATTTTAGAAGCAAAAGAGACAATTATTTGGTTTTGCCTTTTCAAAAAAAAAAAATCAATAAACTGCTTTCCTTATATTGATTTATTGAACAATTGTTCTTGATGAGTGGGGGTTTGAATATACTACATTCAACAATTCAACATGTCACAATATTTAACTTCCTCCAAAGACAAAAAACTAACAATTATAATAATAAATAATGTAGATACATAATATATATATATATTAAAACACTAATAATACATTAAATATAAACATTAAATGTATCATATAATATACAACATTAACACCAACCTTTGTTAGGAAAGCAACCATTGTTTTAAAATGGCAGAAAACCCACAGGTGGGACTAACGACCTCATTAAGTAAATTAATTACACCTGAGCTTGTTCCTCAGTATCTTAGACGTCATTTTAAGGTTGAGTTCAGGGGAGTGGAAAAGTAAGCCTCTCTGTTTAATTATACAACGCCTCTTCTCTCAACATCTTCAAATCAACCCTTAAAACTCATCTGTTCAACATCGCCTTCCAACAATAACTCACCCCCCCCCCACTTACACTTCCATTTCTGCCCCCTGTTTTTTTATGTCTTGTCCTTGTATGTTTCTTTGTAAAGCGACCTTGAGGTTATGAAAGGCGCTATATGAATTGAAGTTATTATTATTATTATTATTATACAAGTGTGGACATTATGTGCCATAAGTAAGCTCTAAATTGTGTAGTTTTAGATAAAACATTGCTTTAAAGACCTATAGTTGAAATGAAGTGTGCCAATCAGGTGCCAATATATATACTGATATTATTGCAGGCTCTGGTGCCTCCCATTGACACTGTTGAGTAACTGCATGTTTCCACACATACCTGTTTCTGAGTGTTCACCTCCTGTTGCACTGCTGTAGGACTTAACTGGACACAACATCGCTTTTATCGCCTGTCCAAATGTTTTACTGCGAAAAGAAGCCGTTAACATTGATGTCGAAAAGTGTTTTAGCGCCATTTGCTAACTCACTCATGAAACACTAGAAGCTCTAGCTTAATACTTAAACACGTTAAACGCATTGGCTGACAACAATTATTAGCATTACTTTTTATTCCAACGCAGTATGCTAACTTTCAACACAACTTTAATATACGGGTGTAACAGTGTTTTATTCCCCACAACAAAAAGGAAACAAAGGTTCCGTGTTGGTGCATTGCGGTGGTACACACTCCAAACGTCCAGCAGATGGCGACATTGAGCCACTTTGCAGTTACCTCTGCAATGCTACGTAGATCTGTGGTCATATAAATGATGAATACAAACTCATAATCACTTTTCTTTCATTTTTTTAATAAAAGATTGATCTTTTGTGTTATTTTTACACATTTTAAGGCATCATGCACAAACAAAGTAAGCTAAAGTAAAGGCATTATGCTTACCCTCTACCAAAAATGATATGCCCTAACAGTTGAAGATTTTGCAGTTAAAAATAAGTTTGTACAAATATGGCATGTAAGCTGGCATGTCAGTGAATCTCGAGGCAGAACGTCAACTGCTTTCACTGTTTTTGTAAACATGGCTTGGAGCAAAATAGGGCTGAGGAAAAGACAAGAGAAAGGGAAAGCATGCTTCAACGTGGGGATACATTTCCCTGAAAAGCATGCAATGCATCTTAAATCATATTTACAATGCATTATTTTCCTGCCAACAGATTTTTTTTTTTAATTTAATCAATTAAAGTTAAGACGATAAAAAGTATTCCGACAATTACAGACAGATTGACAGACAGAAAGACAGGATGTGTCCATAATGTTCCCCAACACCAACGCGGATCCGATACGTCATCAAATAAAACACTACAAGATTTTTTTAATAAATGAAGAATTGTAGACATACCTCCAAATACTGGGAGTATTGCAACCATAAAAGAACTGAAGGCTGCTTTAAGTTTTTCTGTATTCATTTCATAAAGTTTTGTATGAAATTAACCTGTAAGTAGGGCTTCAAATTTTGTTTAAAAAAATCTTGTAGTTTCCACCGTAGACAAAGATCTGGGAGTTGCCGGGTAGCTTTGGCACAGTTGTGTCCAGTTGTGCTCTTTTGTGGCGATCCCTGTGCGTTATACAATGTTGAAGACCATGGAAAGATACTGTTCATATGAAACCTGGATCCAGCCATCCTGGTCCGTATCATACCGCCTGAACACGTCGGTCAACCTCTGCGGAAAGAAGGGGGGAAATAGTGAGTTTAAATTATCGTTTGTATCTCGATTCCTCCCCAAAGTCTCATATTAGTATCATATTACATGTTAAAATCAATATTTGACAACAGTATCATTATCACATTTAATTAATGTCCTACTATAGTTAATAGATTCAATACTGTGTGACTAAATATGAAGTGTTATAGGGTTTTACTTTTTACTTCTGGAGAGGCAGATATTTTAACTCAAGGATATCCTTTGAAATCTAGGTCTGAGTCGAGAGCCGAAAAAGTAAATGGTTGACATCTCTAGAGCTTTTATGAAACCTCGGGTGATACTTTATATCCTGGTGAAAGGGAAACGTCTGTCTTAATGAAAGGTTATAGTTATGGCAGCTTCCATTACCACTCTATTTGTGTGAAATCACTGAAACGGAACATAAAGGATCAAGAGGAACTTCAACGGGAGATTTATAATCTAAAAAGGGAGGACTGTAATGCGTTTCTTAAGTATGCATAATTAAAACTCCCTTTTGATCCCTTTGAATTGCAGAAATGCCTCATTGTGTTGCAGGTAGTACACCGACAGACAGCCTATACTTATGCATATGTGTGGAGAAAATACATGAATAACTCATGTCACGTGTTACCTGTAGTACGATGCAGCACTGGATGAAGTCATCGAAGGCAACCTGTCCCTTCCTCTGGCGGTCGAACTTCTCTATCAGCGTGCAGTAGAACTGTTCTGATAGACGATAACCTGCACACAAGAAAACAAGACATTAACAATGAACTGCATAGAGATTGGAACTCATTTAAGTCTGCATTTTAAACACCCAAACAGTCCCAAGCTCCTGCTCCAAACACCCGAGGCCCCTCTGTAATTGCCACCATTAATATGATACATTCTTATTACTGAGCAGTTACCCTCGCTGTAAGTGAAATGTATATTCAGCAGCGTATTGACTTTGGCTGACTTGTATTTACTGAAGACAAACAAAAGCCTGGACAACACAAAGACAAACACAGATCATGGGAAATGAAAAATAAATGACACATTTCTCTTGAATAAGTTGTCTTAAACATGATTGTTTTTGCGCTCAATCACACATTTGGATTTGTCCCCAACAGTTTGTTCTGCATTGTAAATAGCAAGCTGCAACTGCACGTCTGTGTCGTAAAACTACATGAGAGAAATTCCACACTGTTTCTTTAATAAACGTTTCCAACGGCATGCTGGTTCACTCAAGCTTACACAGAGCTAATAAAAAGACAGAATCTGACCTTTTGACCCCGAGGAAAGACACTCCTAGAGACAGCTTCAGAGCCCTTCACCACATTCACCCCCAAGTAAATATCCCAGCATACTTTGTGTCTCACCAAATCCAGAGAGCGCCTGCTTGAGCTCGTTCTTATCGATGAAGCCCGAGTTGTCCCTGTCGTAGTTCCGGAAGATGTTCTGCCAGTCTGTGATGTACTTCCACACGCCGGCAAACTCGTTGAAGCTAACCCCGCCTTTATTTTCCCTGTCGAACATGGCTGTGGGAGAGAATGAGACATTATTCACTCTCTGTCTCTTATAACAATACACAGCACAGTGCAGTTAGGGCAGATTGTGTGACCAGAAAGCAGAAATAGCACCACATATAGTTTTAAAGAGCTGTCACAGAGCTGAAAAGTGTAATCTGTGGGTCTCACACTTCACTTACTCCTGCCTCAGAAAACTACTTTAGAACAGAGAAAACTGCTCCATCGCCTCCACCAGTACTTTACTCCTCACCCTCATGCGGTTCAATCCAATTACCTCCCAACAAAGGGAGTGTTATCACGGGGCATGCTCCTTGCTAGGGGACTATTAAACAATGGCTTTACTGAGTATGGAAGAGTAGGAAGGGGAGGCGATGGGATTAGAGGAATTTACTCTGCAAGTCACACAACAAAAAGGGAACAGTGCACATAAGACCCGGGGAGAGATCATGCTATTTTTAGGCAATAGCCTAGGTCTCAGATATATACAAATATATAAAAAACATGTCTATGAAGTGTTTTACTCAAAATACCAAACAGATCACCCATTCTAGACATGCCTCATATCCCTCTATTTCACTTCCTGTTTCAAAAGTGCTGATTTGGGGGATAAAGCTTTAAAAAAAGAAATTGATAAAAAAAAAGGAGGGGGCTGAGCTCATGCGGGAGATTCTACCGGCAGCTACCGTCTAAACTAAATACNCACACAGCCTCCCTCAAATTGGAGCAAGATGTCACCAAGTGTGTGTGTGTGTGTGTGTGTGTGTGTGTGTGTGTGTGTGTGTGTGTGTGTGTGTGTGTGTGTGTGTGTGTGTGTGTGTGTGTGTGTGTGTGTGTCATCTATATTTCCTTACACTCTTACAGGAGGGCTCGTGTTTTACCATTAAAATATAAAACCAGAAAATGTGATGCCTAATGATCGTGAATACCTTTTTAAGAGTTTGTGAAGACAGGCAGTGGTGAAAATGGTGGTTTGGGAAATGCCTCCATATCTACAGCTGTGTGTGTGCAGAAAGTCCTCATCTCCAGCACACTGCAATCATTTGACAACAAATACGGATTATGGTGTAATATATTTCCTGCAAGCTACAAGTAAAGTCTTTGGGATGGAGAGGACCTCCTGAGCAGAAAATGATAGCGCTGGATCGCTCACAGAGTACACAGGGCTTCATTTGTTCAGCAACAGCCAGAACTCAGATCATTTGTTAGTCCTATATAAACCATGGAAATCCGAGAGGTCCAAAAGCATCAAATAAAAGAAAACATGCTTTCATAGATGGTTCAAATATACCTTACAGTGTATATTTCCTACAGGAAGCAGTGTTAACAAGGTGTATTCCTCCTCTGCAGTGTGTGCTTTGATGGACTAATCTGTTATTTCCCTCCAGGGCCCGTCCCGCCTGCAGCTGTCGAAGCCGCTGATAGCAGCCGTCAGTGGCTTCGCGGTGGCTGGAGGCCTGGAGCTGGCTCTGCTGGCAGACCTGAGGCTGGTGGAGGAGAGCGCCGTCATGGGGGTGTTCTGTCGCAGGTTTGGTGAGTCTGCCACCTCACCCTGCTGCGGACCCTTACTGCTGCTAACTAACAGTTGTGGTGGTTGGAAAATAGTACTACTTTTTTGTTCATAACTTTTTTATTCATGGTCATTTTCACTGAACGCAGCAGCATCTTTTTAAGAAGGCCTTCTGGCATAGACACAGTTACACACATACAAACCCAAAAGCTGATCAATACAACCACAGTGTGATCTGTTTGGCCCTGAGAAGCTACACCCGATCTGCTGAGGGGTTTAGGGACTCGCTTAAGGGCAACTCACTGGTGATAATGAAGGGTGTGCAAGCACTCCTTTTTCACTTTCTCTGCCCAGGTTTATGTTGCTGTCCAGCATGAAGTCCCTCAGGTCACCAGCCTGCTTCAGTCAGTTTTATAAATACATGTCTATTGCTGCAGGCTCCTGTACTAGTAGGACCATTTCACTACTACTGTCTCAGATTTGATCTTTTAGCAAATTTTACTTCTTAACATTTCTCAATTTTTGTTGGATATTTTTCTCTTTTAAAAAAAACGAAACTTGTCAGGAAAATGATAATTGCTATACATCCACAACTACTTAAATACATCTCTCTACTTGTCTACTCAGTACCTCTTTCATTTAATGCACGGGTGTCAAACTCAATTTCATCACCGACCACACCAGCATTATGGTTGCACTCAAAGGGCCGGTTGTAACTTTAAGACTATATAAAAAGACATATATCAATATTGAATATAATAATGTGTTATATTACATTATTGCCTCTGCATTGGATTATTATCGGCAAGGGTAATAACTTCATAATTAACTACGTCTGAAAGCAGAAGTCTAGGGCAAATAATTACAAGTCTCTTCAGTAAGAATGTCACAATATGATTTTAAAAGAAAAGCCACATTCTGGAAAAACAAAAAAAGAAGTGCCATTTTGAAAAATATATCTATGAGAAAAAGGCTAATTCTAAGAAAAAAGGCATATTTGGACAAAAAAGCAAAATTCTGAGAAAAAATGCATACTGTATGTTGGAGAAAAAAAATCAAATTCTGAGAAAAAGTCGGATTTGAGATGCATTGTGGGACATGTAGTTTATGGGCAATCTGCTTCTGTAAAGTGGCATGTAACCGTATAATAAACATATTATATTCTTTGCAAGCTCTTGTGGGGCCACAGAAAATGAAGTCGCGGTCCGGATTTGGCCCCCGGGCCTTGAGTTTGACACCCCTGATTTAATGTATTGGTTTATTTTAATTGGGGAAATGATAATTCCACATTATTAAATACACCTAGAACATATATCAAGCCTTATCACAATGTGACTGACTGAATAAACTCATATACTCTTACAGTATACATTGTTGCTTCTTCCACTATTACTACAATCACTGCAGTAACGGGCATAGTGCCCCCCCCCCATTCTCTGTTTTGCTGCTCCTTAAGCCTTTGTGTATCTGCTCATATAATTATATCTGTCCATGAAAATATGGTTGTGTTTTTCTTTGCATGCATCATCTGTCTCCTAATGCCAGGAAGTTGACGCTGTTTCTATTTTCTAACATCGTTACCCCGTCCTCTGTTATCAGCCTAGCCTTCTTGTTTGTGTCCGAGCGCGGCGTCGTAGTGCGATAACACCGGTGACCGTGACCTTTTGGCATCGCGGCCCCAGTCTGCTGGGCAGTCTTGATAAGTAGGAGAGGAAGCGACCCACTGCCAGGTTTCCACTGCGGGGCTGAACAGGGCTCGCATATTATTTATGTGTCACAATTTCCTCATAAACAACATTTTCCTTTCCTCGCAGCTTACTGGCATGGCCTGCCCGCTGACTCGGCTATAGTTTCAAAAGAACAAGTAGTACTTTGCATCTTCTGCTGTAAACACTTCAAGCTAATCCTGATCCCAGGACGTCGTGGCTGACTTCACTTTGTAAAAGTAGCTCGTGTTGGACTGTTGCTCATCGCTTTAGCCATGGTTCTGGAGGGTTTGAAATACAACCATGGTGTTTATAAATAAAACTGTTGTACTATAATTTACTGGCTGTTCTAGATTTAGAGTGTAAACATGCAGGGCTTATCTTCTCAGGCCTGTAATTTACAGGAGAGCATCCTAGCAGTGTGTCTGTCTGTCTGTGTCTGTGTCTGTCTTTCTGTCTGTCTGTCTGTCTGTCTGTCTCTCTCTCTCTCTGTCTGTCTGTCTGTGTCTGTCTCTGTCTGTCTGTCTGTGTCTGTCTTTCTGTCTGTCTGTCTCTCTGTCTGTCTGTCTCTCTGTCTCTCTGTCTCTCTCTCTGGTGGCATGGCTTCAGAGCCAGGCCACGCTCCATTCTCTCTGCAGAGTCGCTCCTCAGTGTAGGAGCTGTTTGACTATATCTAAGACAAATATGTTTATATTTATAAAAATTATGAATAAATACTTTTGGTGGCAGTCCTGAGAAGCTGGTATTATAACAGCACTTGTAAAAAAGATTCAAAATATAACTAGCTTTATTTATTACAATGCTTCCCCATGTACATTCTTTGTTACCTGCTGTTTATGTTTAGGGCATCTTAGCTCTTTGCCAGAAACCAAAAGAGAAGCAGGAATACACCAGGATTGCAGATAACAGTTCAGATTAGTTGACACTGGAGAAGCTGTGTAGTGACAAACTTATTTTAACAGATTTAAGGACCTCAGTCTAAACTCTGCATGTCCCATTAGGGAGCCTGCACTTCTTCCATCAGCTCAAAACTATGTTTGGGAGGCAGAAATTAGCGTTACTGTGGTTTTGACACATTTCCTCCCAGTCATTAATTCTCTCCCTGTTGATTGCCACATATCTTTTGGCTTGTTTGTCAACACATTTGACTCGTTTCCCCCAGCTTAGTTGAAACCGCTGTGGTTTTTCAGATGTGCATTGAGCAGAGTGAGTATAACTTAGACTGCTGGCTTTCAGCATTTGTATACACATACACTACCTAGCTGTATGATACACAACCATCACCTTCCTGAAGCTGTAGTTAGTGAAGTCCCAATACTTACTTACCAGATTTAATGAAGGCTGCATTCCACAATGAGACAATATACATAAGACCTAAAGTAAGTCTGGAAAAAACATATTAACACTGGAAATAAAGTGCATTTTCCAAACATTAATCAATAGAAAAACCGAACTTCCCTCCCCATTTACATCAAAAGTAGCACTGCTCCGTGGGTAGCACAGTTTATTTAAAGATCCCGTGTTTCTTACAGATTGTTTCCTTTTAATGGTTGAATTCTGTAACCGTTTTGGGGTCGGGCACAGATGGCAGCAGCCGGAGGGAATCCCTGGTGGCTTTGGAGTCAAAAAACCCAGAGGCTCTCTGCACCGCTCTGATGTGGGCCAATAGCAACCAGAAGGATCTGACAGCTTTCTGGCACGTGATTGGCTGCCGAACCTGCGGCTTCCTGTCTGGGGCCCCTCTGCCTCGCCGAGGAGGAAATGAGAAGGAGGAGATGGTTGCGTCACGGGAGTCTGGTATTAGTGTCTAGTGCTCGTTGGATTTTGAGAGACCTGAATGAAAAACCACCGTGCTTACCTAATTCCCTGATGTTATTCTGGTTCCTGAACCCAGAGGAACATTACAAAGCAAAAAAAATTGTTGGCATCGGAAAAGGAAACTTAAAATAGTTCACTAATACTTCATTCAAGGATCTTTCTTTGGTGGTGAGGCTAAATCAGGCGAGCGTGGAGGTTGTCCAGGATTGTTAGGATAGCGCCCCTCTGATTTTCCAGTTTGAAGTCAACCGCCAAATAAAGACCCCTATAAGTCATAGCAGTGTGTCCTCCATTTCTCTTCTTCTTCTTCACAGTTATAAGTCCTGTCTCATACCTGGACGAGGGACAGACGTAGAGTGCCAAATAAGAAGAAGCCACATGTTGAATCGAAGTCAAACCTCCGTCCAAAGCCGACATACCATCGGCCAATTCAAACACCGCTCCGTGAGTTTGAAACTGAATGACATAGTCCAGTGACCACATCGTCTCTCTTCAAAACCGACCTTTTCAAACGTTTTCATTAGGAGTGACTGGATAGAGCAGTTGTTTGTAGTGATAACATTTTAAGTGGATACACTGATGTGGATATTTACAAATAGCTTCATATTAATTTAAAGACAAATCATGTGCAAACATTGTGCCTCACCTGAACTTACTTGGGGACAGCCTGGGCTCATGATATGGGATGTTTCAACTATGATGTCATTTTGTTCTGTCTTGTGATTTGATAGATCTGTTCTCCAGCCATTTTCCTGTTTGAAGGTGCTGTTTGCTGCCATGGTGGTCTCGTATGATGCTGCTCTGCAAACTAGAGAAAGCACAGCCCTGGTGTTCACTCAGTGGGCTAAATACATGAAATCAAGTTAACTGTGTGGCGCTCGTGTTTGACCCAGCCCAGTGCAGCTCTTTTCCTTAATTTTTTGTGAGGATTTCAAAGTAAGCTTCCGTTTGAAAGTCTGCTTTTTTCCCCCCCTTTTATCCATTTACTCTGGAATTGTCCGGAAATTGTTAATCCACATCAAACTTAATCGCATTACCCTCATCATGGGAGGTCATTGTAGTGGTTTTACTTTGATGTGGTGAGGATGCCAGCAGCACACGGGAACACCTCACTGCACCGTGTTTCGCACTCTTGTTCTCAGGTTATTAGAAGCTGTAGATGTCAGATGTGATCTCTCCTTTCGTAAGACTTGGCACTAAAATCGCGTAGTAAAAATGATACTGTTCCGCTTTTGGCTTCCTAATTTTACAAGAGGTCAGCTACAGAGAAGCAAGGTTCAGCTGCTAGAGATTCAAGGTTTTGATTTGAAATACTGAGCAAAGCTTGTCATTTTACAATAAGAATGGTTATGTTTGTACCAAAATCCGACCAAACAGACCTGATCTTCAGCATTTATTGCTGCAGTTAAAACCCATCGATTAACCTCTTTCCCAGCCGCAGCAGTGAGGTATTGTTTTCATCTTGTGAGTCTGAGAATGTGTGTCATCGCGACAAAATGTGCTCCTGGAGACACCTACTCCAACGAGAAAATAAGTGAAGCCATTTTGAGTGGTTTGCCACGTGTTTATATTTTTGTCTTGGAATTCGAACTTCACAAGTATAACATTTAGATTAAAATGAAGGCCCCCGCTTAATGCCCCATCGTGTCTGTGCGTCACTGCTGGTTTAATCTCTTATCACAAGATTGTGTCTCATGTCTTTTTGATACCAATTTAAGCACAGTAACTTAACTTTAATAAAAGGTAGTAATGTTTTTTTTAGAAAGCCAGTGTGCATTTAACTATCCTATCAGAAGTGGTAGTAGTTATATCTGTTATAACATTTCATATTGAACGTTTGCGGTTCTGTGGGTTTGTTTGCATTTTTGCCTCTTGCTAAACGTGACTGAAGAATAGACTAATATTTTAAATAAAAGGAATGGAAACCAAAATACCTAATTTTCTAATTGAAACGATTTGTAGTGACTCATAGTATTCAAAAGAACTGAGCTGCTATCACAGAACAACACATTATATCCAACTCTGTAGCAGCTAGATAAAACACAAGGTTCCCTCTCCCCCCCCCAGACCTCTACAACACGCCAGCCAGATAAGCTGTGATGGCACTGTGATGCAGGAAGATAGCCACCTCTGATATCTAGTTATTAAACAATAGGCTTTGCTGACTCATGTTCAACCTTGTTAATAACAAGCCTTAGTCTTGACATTGGGCTTATCTACTTTAAAGTAAGGCAGAGGGCTCATTTCCAAATGTTCCGAGCATTACTGAAGAACAACAATGACAAATCCCCCCAAAAAAACCTTACTGATTATCTAGCGTCAGGATCACCGCCAGACATTTTCCTCTATGGATCTTGGAATAGGGGATCAGAAGCCACCGCTCCGCCTCAGCCATCTTCTTTCAAGCCAAACATGCCTTTTGAGTTAAAACGACTTCAATGAGTAGCTTCCAGCCTCTCAGCTCCCATTCATGTGGGACAAAGCGCAGGTCTCTGTAAATTCCCGCAAACAGGACACATCAGAGACGGGACTATCAGACGGAGAGGAGGGTGAGGGCTGGAGGTGCTGGAGACGAGTGCTGCGGATAAGAAGGGAGATCCTTCCGGTTGCTGATAGCGATGGTGCCAACAGACTGGAGGTCAACCTGGCTCTTTATCTTTCCTTTTAGAGTCGGGCTCTGTCTTCCTCTCACTGTTTTAGATCCAGCCTCCTGTCTCCCGCTTCCTCTTTCTGGCTTTTGCTGTGACGGGTGATAGTGTTGGACCCAACACGTAGAAGCTCTTTGCATTAGTCTTTGAGAAGTAGAACAATGATTTCTAACCAGAGCTACAAGTGCTTTTGCAAATGCTTACGTGGCAAAAAAAAATTGTGATTTGGCAACTTTTATAGATATTAATGCAGTTAAATTGAGTGCGAGACGGAGCTCCATCAAAACCCTGGAAACACTCTTTCTTTTTTTCTAGTGGTTGTCAGATTCAATATTGAAAAGACCTTGAACCCCACACACAAACCCAGACACACACCTGTGCAGCAAGGATCCATGCTATTCTTAAAATTAAATTGCAGAAAAAAGAATTTGTCATTTATGTGGCATTTAATCGTCTCAAGGTGCTCAGCACAGAAAAAATGAGTAAAATCTAGTTCATGGAGACAGTGTAACACCGTCCTGCCCCACATAATCACAATCTTCTGTCTTTCGGAGAACCATTATGTGCCGACGGTTTGAGCCCCAACCAGGCCCCTGGAGAGGTCGCACTTGCATTAACATTGGTATTCCATGTATTCCGATTTAATTTATTTAAACGACACGGAGCAAGAGTCGAAGTCCCAGAGTATGAATAGAATCACAGTATTTCCACGACTCCCCACAGAATGAGAGAGGGCGGAGAAAAAAAGAAAAGAAAGCTAGCTTGATGATTTTGGGGTTATGAAAACATGTCCGACACATGTGCTCTCAATAAGGGGCGGTCAAATAGAATCAGCGACTCTGAGGAATTAGGGAGTCGGGATCGTGGCGTGGAACTTGGGAGCCCCTAACAGTAGAACGCATGCCAGTTCCAGCTGGTGCTCTTTAGAAATTAGGACAGATGCCAGAAGCTTACTGTACCTCGCGGTGGACTCTCTCTGCTCTCCTTTCTCCCCCTCTCCCCCATCCCTCTCTCTCTAGTGTGGACGGTAATAATGCAAATGTGTCCAGTGAGACTGAGAGTTAGGAGGAGTTGGAGTTTACGCACTCACTGAAAGAAAGCAGAGTTACAGTTGAGGAGTAAAATTGTTTCTAAACTTTTTTCCCCTGACAGCTGTAACCTAGATTAATGCCAGCGATATATTATGTCTTTCCAAGTGTTTCTATGGCTGTTTTCACACGGGGACTTAAGCCAAATACACTGGCACAGTGCCTCACATTTCCTCTCACCTTTTACAGTTAAGAAATCCACATTTAGGTCTAAATGTAATTTATAGAAAACCTCCAATTCCACTTTCTGGAAATATTCTTTACTTTGGCAGCAATCTCCCAATGTGATTGAAAGTGTAGAATTGTAAAGTAAAAAAGATTGCAACTCAGTTATTTTCATCCTTAGACTGTCATTTCTTTCTGAATGATTGGTTCTTATTTATCAGATGTGGCAGAATTAAGCTGACCAATGAAATATCAGGTACACCACCTGATGTTTGATTTGCGGTGGGAGAGGACTTTTAGTATAAATATCAAAAATGCAAGAAAGAAAGATGTATTTCTTACTTCTTCTCTTTCTTTTCAGGAGTTCCCCTGATCGATGGAGGCACAGTGCGGCTCCCGCGTCTCATTGGACTGTCTCGAGCACTCGACTTGATTCTGACTGGACGACCAATCGGAGCGCAGGAGGCTCTCGCCTACGGATTGGCTAACAGAGTTGTTCCTGATGGCCAAGGTATTGGACCTGGTCTAGATTCTGTGTAATGTGTGCAGTCCCATGGATAGGGCTTGGTGGTGTCGCACCTGAATATGTGAATATGTGTCAATCGCGAGTATAGAAAATATTTAGAAGTTCTTAAACATTGGTATTGAATGCTTGGTCACATTCTTATTCTTTTGACTTCACCTTTGACTATATATATACTTTTTATTTTTTTATTTATCATAACAACAAACAGAACAGGGTCTTACCCAAATCCTCCCAACCAATCAGATTAATGAACAAGCTCTTCAAACCTGTGGACAAGATCTCCCACTTCTTCACAGTTGATCAATGTATCTCCTTTCTGGCATTCTACCGAGCAAACATTAAGAATATCTACAACCTACTGGCCCCCCCCAACCTCCTCATTCTCCCCCAACTCCCCTTCAGACCTCAACAAATCACTGCCTGGCATGAAGACTCCCACTTGCCCCTAGGACCCCATCCCCTCCACATGACTCACATCTCATCCCCCTGCTCTCTGACCGCTCATCCTCTCTGTAATCATCTCCTCCCTGTCTGTCTCTGCCCCCCCTCCCGTCAAAATGCCTCTGTTACACCTATACTCAAAAAACCTGGCCTTGACCCTGAGATCCCAACAGATACCAACCAATCTACAATCTCCCTTTTCTGCCGAATATACTTTAACGCACCTTCGCTTCCCAAGTCAAATCCCTCATTCCCCTCTTTTTAAACTGCACTCAAAACCCACTTCCTTAAAGCCTTTTGATATGGGACCCCACCCCTGCTTTGTTCATTGTTATTATTAATCTAATTAAATGGTGTATAAGCTGCAACTGCGGTTTCCTTTGCGGTTTATTCCTTTTTAAGTACCTTTTTTAAACTCAATAAAATCAAATGTATTATTATCATTGTAGTTAGTATTATAGGACATTTGTTGAATAAAAGAAGCAATGTGAAGAGCAGATATTGGGGAGGCTGGAATCCTCCATCTGTCTGGGGGAAGTAGAAATCGTTATTCACTTTGAAGACATGTCGACACCACCGAGAAAAAGGCCTGTGACACATTTTTATTCAGGAAACATAGTTTTTAAGAAACTCTATTGTAGTGAAGATCAGACAAAATCCTATATAACGTACTTATTTTCCAGAGAATCTGTTTTCATTATTTGGCTTAAAAAACAACTCTGCAGCCATAACTCAGCATTAGCACTGCTCTCCTCACTCATCCCAGCAGCAGTCTGAGGATTTAGCTGTGCATACATTTCAATGCAGCATTTCCTGTATTAAATTAAAGCATGAACGCCCACGTATCCTTAAAGTCCCAAAAAAGCCTTTCCATGTGCAAATCTTTGACTCCCCCCTACTCCCCTTAGACATTAAAAGAAGATTAGCTTAATTCTTTTAGGAAGTTCCTCTTCCCACATTCAAGCCTCGGTCTAATTGGCCTCTCTGAAGGATGATGATCTAGCGGGTTTAACATCAGAGGGAAGCTAAGAAGTAGCAGCTTACTAAAACACACACACACACACACACACACACACACACACACACAGACAGACACAGACACACACACATAGGGCATCAAAGTGTGGCATCATGATGCTCAGTTTTTCTCCATAAGACCGATGGGGATGTAGTCCTGTGCTTCATGTTCGTGAGCAGGGACACGCAGAATAGAAAGGCTGCTGCTGAGAGAAAGGGTTATTAACACATTCACCTGTGTGGATTGTCCCATATTATGAATGCATTCCCTTGTATATGCCCATGTGTGTGTTCATCTGTGTCACTGTTGGACTGACTTCATGTTGTAACCACAGCTTTGCAGGCAGCGCTGCAGTTAGCAGAAGAGATCAGCTGCTTCCCTCAGCAGTGTCTGCGGGCCGACCGCTCCTCAGCTGTCTACAGCTGCTACGACGCGCCCTCTTTCACTCAGGTACACGTGATATAAGAATATATATATATCCTTTATTTAACCAGGTAAAAGACTCATTGAGATTAAAATGACCTGGCCAAGAAGGGCAGCATGAACAACGATACAACAGAGACAATACAGGCAGACAAATACAGCCGTCAAACACAAATAAAATGTCACATTAGCCCGTCAATATGCAAAATAAAAGAAACTTAAAAATCATTAAAAACTGGCAACATTTCAAACGACTTCAATTTTTGGATATACGAGCACTCTCATCTACCAATGGTGTCGTGTTCTCTGTCACAATAAACATTAGCATACCAATATTTTTAGCTTTATATGACATACTGTACTGACACATTTACTTGTTTTTAAGCTGCATGGAGATGTTTTATGGTACATCTCACATATTGTACTGGTCATAGAAGTTAGTTTGCAATGAGTTGAATCTGTGTTGCTCTGTGTAGGCCATGCAGTATGAGATGGACCACGGAATTCCTGTCATCCAATCAGAAGCTGTCAGTGGGGCAGCCAGGTTCACGACGGGAACAGGAAGAGGAGGACAATTCTCCTAGGATTCAGTTTGTCGAGGCCTTGTGACTCTCAGGTGATCTCTCACAACTCGCTGCTGCTCCACTGCTCTCCACAAATGTTTTACGTGTCTGATCGATGTTTTATTCAGATAGCGTGTTATCTTAGCATTCTTCCTACATTTCAAATATAGTGAGATGAAGTTGTGTGTATTTAAAATGTTTATCATACTACTATTTAGGTTCTGTGTGAGTTTCAACTGGGATCAATAAGCATAGAAAAAGCAAATAAGACACAAAGGTAAAGTTAGTCTAACGTATGTACTTCTGAATATAAAAATGTATAATATAAAAATATGTATTGTTAATATATCAGAGACACATTTTGAAAGGGAAAACAGCTCCATGTGCAGCACACACTGGTTTTAACTTGAATGTTCTTGATGCAAAACACAAAGGTATTTCTGTTTAGCTAAAAGGTTGACCCAAGCTGTCATTTTCTTTTTCAGTCTGTTCCTCTGGTTTCTTGTGAACTATATAAATACACATACTTAAAGATGAGATCTTGCACTTTTTTTTCTTTTTTTCAAAGCAAATCATCAAGGAGAATCACAGATATCTTTATGTTCTGCGCGATGCAGCGCTTTAGGAAGTCTTTGACCACAAAACTAATCCAACACAAAAGAGTAAAAAGGCATCAAAAGCACAAAACCTGCAGCAGCTCGCCATTGTTCCTTTGAAAAAAACACTTGATTACTGGGATAAGACTTGTGTTCACGAACGTGTGCGTGTGAGCAAGTAACCATAGCGATATACTGTAATTATTGCAGAAGATTCAGCACTTCTTGTCAGATCTGTCCCAGGTGTAAGCATTCCTGTTGGAGAACGTGTGTGTGTGTGTGTGTGTGTGTGTGTGTGTGTGTGTGTGTGTGTGTGTGTGTGTGTGTGTGTGTGTGTGTGTGTGTGAAAAAAAACCACGCGTTCAAGAATCTCTGTGTGCGCAATTTTCTGTGAACTCTTTTCTGACCTTTTAATGCTCATTAATAAAAAATGTCTCACAGGAAAAGGGAGAACTAAAACCAAGATGTATGGGGATGTGTGTGTGAGTAAAAGAGATACAGACAGACAAAGACCTCATTAGGTTTAGGAGGTGTCCTGTCTAGACAGTGTGATGACAGGACACAGAACCTCTGTTTAATGTTTCCTCCTCCTCCCTCGACTTCCAACTCACCCAACACACACACACACACACACACACACACACACACACACACACATATCACCTGCTCTGCCTCCGGGGATCCACACACACACGGTTGCTTAATGTCAAGCAAAATGTTAAGGACATATAGAAGTATTTAAGTGCTTTTTCTGTGACAAAGTCCTGCAGCCTCTTTATCACAGGAATGTCGTGATAGCACTGAAGAGCACCAACGAAGAAGAAGCTGTGGATGTCTTTGTGCTAGCTTGTTTGTTTAGTATGAGGCATGCCCAAAAGTTAATGCCCAATTATGTGTTTAAAACATGGATTTAGTGCTTTTTTTGTCAATGTGAGTTGTTAAAGAATAATCTTTTTCTTTTTATAGTTTTATCTGCAAAATTACAATTTCCCTCTGAGTTTGTGCCCAAAAAGGAACTTGAGGAAACGAACCATTCACTCTATATTTTGCCAATAGAAGAAGCTTGAACTTGTAGGGTAACTGAATGTGTTCTCCATTAGGAATAATCTCTCATTAAAGTAAATGGGTGTTTTGAGTCCAAGAAAAACTAAAGAATATGATAAATGACATCCTGGAGATGTCTTATTCTAGTTAGGCCTCGTCAGTTTCTGTTATTTTAGAGTTGAATCTGTCGTTTACCTCTCCAACACACACACGGGCAAACAGGTAAATGCATTATTCTTCCCAAAACTCTTTATTATCATCTTCTTGTACTGACAGGATTTCTGCTTGGTAAATAGGGAAAACAACGTTTTAAAATCTAAATCTCATCTGCTTTGCTACGCCCTACAAAATACTTGCCAGAATTTTAAATAAAAGCCTACATGTGTTTTTAAATGAATGGACAAAAACATGCAAGACAATAGCTGTTCCTTTTTTTGACGTGCTGTTCAGTTATTTATGTAAAGTTGCATGACATTTGGTTTTAGCTTTATGAGAGTGAGATGTTTATAGTTGGGGCTACCCGGCTGTGTGTGTGTGTTTGGTGCTGGTATGTGTAGCTTTGATGCTGGTTCTCACTCTTCACATGCAGATAAGATAGGCTCTGGCAGCAGCAGTAGTAGCAGAGACACCGAGAGATATGGACACCTTTGGACCTTATCACCAGGACCATCACTGTCTGAAGGGCCATGAAGACACAACACAGGTTAGGGTGAGAGGAATGATGGGAGGAAGAGGGAGGAGAAAGGGACATGAGCATTTCATGAAGAGGATTCTAGGACATATGTTCTTCCTTCTATTATAATTATTTAAAAATATGTTTAAACCTGTAGCATGCAAGGCGTTTAACAGCAGGCATTTTACTAATTGTTGCAATCTGTTCATATTCAACAAAAAAGCAGAAAGCAGTGACTTCAAGGTGCAGCTGGTTTAGATTTAAAATGTGATGTTATTCAATTAATTAGAATACTTAAGACGTTTATTTCTATAGTGTTTAAAGGAGATTGGATCACTTCTCCTTGAGTTGCTGTGCGTAATTGCCTGCTGTTTCCAACTCCATCGTCAGGGGTCGTGCCTCAACTGGGCAACATTTATTCTGCTTCAGCGGACACGCACCTTCATTCTGGACGTGTGTGAAGATATAATTCACGCCTCATTAAAGCTGAAGTCATTAAATTAGCCCACGTTATTGTAAATCACTTGAAAGACTTCCTGTAAAGTGCAACTACAAAACCTTATGAAACAAATGAAGTTATACCCAAATACTACTCATAAGGCGCAAAAATAAATTGAGAAATATCACAACTAGTTTTAACTATGTCTGAGAGGCTGAAAAATCATGTTAGAGGAACATTATGATGAATTAATGCAAAGGTATTTTATTAGAGTAGACAGGCTGTCATTCTGACGCGAACAAAATATGGAAATGTGATGTTAAGTTGTCCTTTCTAGCTGAAGAGCTCCACCTCTGGCTCAGTGCGCGCGGAGTGGGCGGTTTCAGAACATACACACGTACGTACACGCGCGCGCACGCATAATATGGACTGCAACCTGCTGATTCCAGTTAGACTCTCATACAGCCTGTAGGAGCACCGTCACTGAGAACACTTCCACTATTAAAGGGCAACTCTAATCAGTGCGCAACATTGGAAACTTTTATATTTCGGAGTAAATAATCCTCTAAAGTGAAATGGCTTCTTTCAGAGGACTTATGTTGGTGAACTGTGTATCAAACGGTGTCTTTTAGACGACTAACCGGAGCGCTCAGAATAAAGTTTCTCATGGTGCATTTTATCCTGAGGCAGCACAGCGCGCTACGGGACTCAGAAATGAAAGCAGCAGCGACACTATTCTGCCCATTTCTCTTTAGGAAGTATTTCAAATGGCTTGATTCACGAGTCTTTCCTCGCTTTTGATCTGTGGCTGCGACAGATAACCGTGCACTTCGGACGGACTTTGGTTACCATTACGCCTATATTTCACATTTGGATAAGCGACTGAAGCTCCAAGCCAGACACACTTGGGACTCGGGACAGCACCGCGGGACTACACGATGAGCAGCTGCTGGCTTGCCTTGGTCGGATTGTGGTGGAGCGCTTGTTACTGCATGTTCCTGGTCTCGGGGAGTAATTATTCACTGGATGGAAACAACGAGGTGCACCAGGGTTTCATCCACCGGCGGCTGCGGACGCACGAGAAGAGGGAGATGCAGAAGGAGATCCTGTCCATCCTCGGGCTGCCGCACAGACCGAGACCGCATCTGTCACACGGGAAGTACAACTCCGCTCCACTTTTCATGTTGGACTTATACAACACCATATCTAACGAAGAGAAAAGCCAGGTGGAAGGCATGCTAGACAGATACCAGTCCATGCGAACCACCCAGAGTCCTCCTCTGGCCACATATCAAGAAACTGCCTTTCTAAACGATGCAGATATGGTGATGAGCTTCGTAAATCTAGGTGAGTTCCTTGAAACTATTTTTACTTTAACTTTTCTTTGGTGCTTAATAAGGCTCTAAATGTTTTTTTATTGGTAAAGTTGTTAGACAGATACATTCAATATTAAAATCTAAATTGTCCAAATGAAATTAAGCCTGAACAGGTGTTTGGCACAAGCAAGATTAAAGTGCAGGCTCACTATAGGAACAATATTATTACGACAAAAAGTTGTAAATAATGGGATGATGGCGCATGAATACGGCTCTTACTTCTCTTAACATAGTTTTTTTTCACCTGTGCCCTTAGACCCCTGGAGTTTATTTGAAACCAAACCTACATTTTATTCCAAACACGGGACGCTATCACACCAGACGCACAGTACGCACGTTCAGTAAGGGATCCAGGACTTGCTCATTGCGTGAACCACACAGACTCCCTCTTCTCCTCTCTGCCTAAGACAATCTGATGAGGCTTGTATTGTTTAGGAGTGATTTATTGTTACACCTCGTCCTCTCTCCGGGTAGATTGGCCCTCCTCGGCTCATTTAGAGGACTGACATTCTGTGGTCAGTGTTCCTGTTCAATCTACTCCATGATTTATGTGTTCGCGGGGAAAATAGACCTATCCTCAACAAAACATCAACCAACACCGCTGGTATTTGTATATAGGCGCTATTCCTGCTGTTGACCTCCAGCTCAGAGAGCTGCGGTTTCTGTGCGTAAACTGCGTCGCATTGTTTGTGTTACCCAAACTGATTTGTCTTTAATTAGCTCCAGTGACGATAAAGAGGGACACTTTAATCATAACGAGTTTGGAACATAAAAGCCAAAAGGCCTTCCTTCCATTAGCAGCTCCAGTGTTTACTGGGAGACTCTAAACAGAGCGCCTGAAGATAAACAGAGGCGCTGCCAGAGTCAGGCTCTGCTGGACAAGTAGGCTTAAATCCAGATGGATTGTCATTCTTCTTGGGAACTAAGGGCATTGTCATGATCTGGCCATGAGAACAGTGAGGATGTTTCACTGCTGAAGAATGCAGTTTTCTATTACTCAGGCTCCTATTGAAACAGGAAATCCTTCACATATTTTATCCCTCACCTTTATAAACAATTTAACAATGTATCAGTACCACACATGAAGAGGAACATTAATATGTGGAGGAAAAAAAGGCAAATGGTTCTCTACTTATTGGTCCTGTGAGTATTGGTGTTGCAACATGCAGTGATGAAAACCAGATACTCAGACGGAAGGAGGCAGAGGCTTTGGTCTCAAATATCGAAGCCCCTCTGTTGGCTTCTGTGTGGGAGTGTGATGGTGGCGGCGTGGTGCTTGTGTGTCTGTGGTTTTGGTATTCCTGTGCTGTATCAGTTTGGGTTTATACTGCGTTGTTGCACATCTGGCTCTCCACTTTGATTAATCGCGTCCTGTGCATCTTTTGCCGATTCCCTCAGATTTCTGCGGTGACCAGGGATTAGGTTGCCATCTCCTCCAGCCGTACACAGAGTCCTAACCGCCCTGGAGGAGGGACGGCTTCCTCCCTGAATGTGATTGTAATTAATGTTGGACAGGCCAAGGCTCTCCATCTGCTTTGCAAATAAGGTCTTGCACGACTACCGTGTGTCATCGCCATCCGATTAGTTTTTAATGCGTCTCCTGCTCGATTGGAGCGGTTTGTGCGGATCGACTAAGAAAGCTACAGTAGGAAAAGGCCAGAAGCCCTCCTGGGTGGTCCTCTTGTTTTTAAAACAAGCCTAAAGATCTGGATATCATGTGTGGACAAAGTGAAACTACAAATTAGAATCAAGATACATGAAAGGAAGCGAAGCGAAGAAGCCAAACAATCTGTCTGAAACAATTTGAAAAATATGGGGCAGGATGAACAGACGGCACCTTACCTGCGTGATCTGTGTTTGTGAAGCCAAAGCAAAGAAGAATGCAGCAGCTCCGTTCACAATGATCATCTCATTAAAACCTCTCACAGTTTTACATCGGCAAATCCTCCCTGTGTTGTAGATGTGAGAATCTTCGACTTTTAAAACTGACCCACGGCAAATAAAACGATGACAGTGATTTAAGTTTCGGCGTGAACTGATGTCTTTCACAGCCAGCTGCAGCAGTAGCACAGATAGAGAGCTCAGGGGGGATTCCCTTGGGGTTCGGACAGATTTAAGAGCCCCTGTGTTACATCCAGTCTCAAGTGCTCTCTGCGAACCATATGCCTCTTTCTCCCCCCCCTGCATGATTCATGAAGACGTCTTGTTCAGGCATCCATTCTCCTTAGCTTTCATCACTTGTTCAGAATGACCCATTGAAAAGGAGCAAGTGGTGGAAAACTTCACATCGGGGGACGAGAAGCATATTTTCCAGTTCCTTTTTTTATCTTCTTTCCTATAAAAGCACCTTCATCACTGTTTGCCTTGCGGACGTCCTGCTTTCCACTGAGGTCTATTGAAGTGACACTGTGTGCTGAATGACTCATGCTGTCTGACACACTACAGCTCCAAACATGTCCTGTTGCACTGCAGGGTCCCCTCGTAATGGCAGCGGTCACTGTTAGAAGTTTTAGACCTCTAGCAGTGCTATGGAGTGTTTTTTCTATGAGTCCCTGTTTTGATTATCTCAGGCGTACGCCACGTGAGTGATGCCATACACATTCCTGTCAATGGTTTCACACTATTCCACTGATAAACAGGTTGCGGTAATTTTCCGATATCTGTGCGACTAGCAAAAGCCGCAGGAAGAGTGCAAGGTATAAACATGGATGTAAACAATACAGGGTTTACATTTTGGGAATTCTGCTTTGTGAGAAATTAAATGAAAAGCATGTGTTTTCATGAGAAACACTGGATGTATACATCTTTTGGTTGTTTACAAGAAATCTGGTAAAGAAGACTGTGTGCAGTTTCAAGTACAAATGCATCTTTTTTTTAATATTTATATTTGGTGAGAACTCCAGTTAAAACATCTTTAGTGGAAAAAGGATGACCGATCCTCTTTGCCAGTTGCCAGTCTCTGGTCACAGACCTATAAATCTCTCACAAGGTAATATATTGCTGAGTGAGTGGGCAGACACTGCAAATATTGGTAAGGTGCATCCCAGTGCAAAACAAATAAATGACTTCATTACTCTCTCAATTAATGAGAGTTGACATATTGCTGAAAAAATATCTACCGCCACCGCGAGGGCTATAATAACCAGCAAGGGAAAATGTGCTATTCCTATCAGACCTGGTTCTTGTGGTTGTGTCAAGGATGCACAGAAATGGCTTCGGTTTCACGGGTCAGAGAACAGGAACTCAAAATGTTGTTCCTGTGTCATCTGCATTTAACTGTGACGAGTTTGCTTGCTGCTGCTCTCCAATGCCAGCCAGAGAGACAGGTGTGGAGGCCTCCCTGAGTCTGGCTAAAGCTCACATTGCTCGTTGGCTCTCATTTAAATCCATTCATTATTTAAAGTCAATCTTTATTCTACTGTTCATGCAGATTTAAATAGCTTTCATGATTAACAGGTGTCCTTGTGTTTTTGTCTTGGTTTTCCCATGCTGTATGCATTAATACGGGTGTCTACTCCAATCAATAGCATGGGTTTTATAGACCTGAAGCTGTTTGTTAATGACTTAAAAGCCTTTTTAAGTTTGCAATTTATATATAAATCTAACCTTGACTACAATTGATCTGTGTTGATTATGATCAAGACAAAATGTTTGTTTGTTTTAACAGCCCCTCACTTCGTTCTCACTCATACAGATCATTCAGTAGCTGAACTAACCAGGGATCAGAAACGCTTCATTCAAAGAGAATGGCAGCTGATTTCAGGGTCACTTCAATTGTTATAATCACAGTCAACAGGTGCTTTCCACAAAGAGATTTACATTTGAAGCCGTCCCAAAGGCTTTTGTGTTACCAGAAAGCCAAAAAAAACATTTAAAAACTGCTCCAGTGTCTTAAAGGTTAATCACACATGCCTTCTAGCTCAAATATTATACGATTATGTTATGCTTTCTTTCACTTGTCTGTCATCACTGCTGCTCTCCTTTTCTTATTCTCTTGTCTGTCTCTGCACACCTCATTGCATAGCTATAGCTGAGCTGTCACTACAGCTCTTACCTAAGTCAACAGCCAAGCTTTCTACTAGCCTACCTCCCACACGTTAAAAGCAAACAAGCCAGAGAGCCTTAAGAAGTGGGTTTTCAGGAGATTAGCCGGGTCCAGACAGCCCAGGGCTTATTCTGAAAAGAAGTACCCTTATTAAGCGGCTGTTTTCCCTGTCTTATGATGCATGGCTGCATTTCTCAGCGCCTTAGCTCAGGTAAGCCACTTCCTTTGCTGCAAAACGTGTCCCAAAGCCCCAGCATGATCAAATAATTAGTCAGCCTCCATCAAAGAGTCAGTTGTTTGATGCAGAAGGGAGCTTTGGAAAAATGTCACTAAACCGCTTTAAAACACTTCCTGCAAAGATTTGGAGAACAGAACCGAGGACCACCCGTCACTTCGCCTCAACTTTCAGCATATCGTAAACAATATTAGCAAGAAGTTTAAGTGAGGAATTCAAGATATGCTGCAGCGGAATAAATAAACTTTTCAGAGACATAAACTTGGCAGTTAAAACCCACTTGCGATGGTGAGAAAAATGATGTTAACAAACTACAAACCTCTGTGTTTGTTTTCATCTGTTTACAGAATCAGATATTTCACTGCCGCTACAAGCACACTTGAACTTGCAGTGATGTTCAAGAACGGCCCAAGATATACAAATAATTCTGCTTATTGGGTTACATTGTTTTAAAGTGCTTCCTTTTTCTCCTATTTTGATTGTATTGGTTTGCCAAGCCTTTTGGCAAAACACACAGCCGACTCGAGAAACAAAGAGTGTTGATGGTGGAAACATCTCCGGTTAACCTGATTATGCATTTTCCAGTCCAGCTTCATGTCTGCCGTAAAAGACGAGGTGTTACAGGACAACTCTATTGTCCATCTTAGTTTTCGCCACAGACCTTACATTGTGTATGAGTGTGTATATCCTTGGCAGCTAGCTTTTTTTGTGAGTGTGTGTATACATAGATGGAGATGTACACACACTGTTGACTGCCAAGGCACAC